AGTATTGAACTCACTCCTGAGGTTCACCCTTCATCCAAAGATTAGACAAGCCCGTGAAACAAAACGAGACTAAACGGGCCCACCAGCCCAGGGGCAAGGACGAGAAGGCAGGAGGGAACAGGAAAGCTGGTAATGGGGAACTTAAGGTTGAGAAGGGAGAGAGTGTTGGCATGTCCTGGGGATGGCAACCAATCAATGTCACAAAACAATATGTGTATTAATTGTTTAATGAGAAATTAATTTGCTCTGTAAACCCTCATCTAAAATACAATTAAAAAAAAAAAAAAAAACCCATCTATATGAGACCAAAAGGTCAACAATCACTCTAAAGCAAAGATGAGAAGATAAAGGGACAGGGAAATTAGACTACTGGAAATGGAACAACCAGAACATAATGAAAGAAAACGTTAACACGTTGTGAAAAGTGCAGCAAATGTCAAAGCAATTTGTGTAGTAATTGTCAAATGGGAGCCTAATTTGATGTGTAAACTTTCACCAAAAACACAATAAAATATTATTTAAAAAAAAAAAAAGAAATAACACCTGTAAAATTTACCCCAAAGACCAGTAAATCAAGTACCTGGCAAAGAACAGCTACTCCTCCACATGTTCCAAAAGGCACTTGCACGATCGTCCTGTCCTTGTCTTCATTGTCCAGGTGGCCCTGGAGCTTGCCCAAGCTGAGCTGATCCCCAGGGACCTCCTCATAGATGCAGCCACTGGTCAGGACACTGAGCTTCACTTCACTACAGTCAGCCTTGGAGAAAACCAAGTTCTGGACTGTCTTCTGCAGTTTCCCTTTGCTTGTCACCTGGAAGCCACCAAATATGAAGGATGAAGACAGGCCCAGCACCTTCCCTCCCTGAGAAAGATAGGCCATGACCTTCCGGTACAGGACTTTGGGAACGGACTCCTTGGTGGCGATGACCAGCAATAGGCAGTTGTCCAGCCATGGGTCTCTGAGAGCACTTTCCTCCTGAAGCTGGTAGACAGTGTAACAGTCGGTGTCCACACAGTCAGCCAGAAGAGCCCGGACCTGCTGGCACCTGTCGAGGGCCTCCTTGGAATCAGGACCCACATAGACTAGGATATTGGGTGCCTTGCCCGTGATGTTGCCTCTCCTCCCTTCTTTCTTGGGGCAGATCTCATCAGCAACACTCTCCAAACTGCTGCTGTAATCATAGGGAAGATCTGGAATGTTCTCTGCAGATGCAAACCTGACTGACTCGATGGTGCTATTTTCAAGTTCCAAACACTCATGGCAGCTAGACAGATGCAGATGATAATGCTCAACAGAGCCTGCTCCTCTGTCACTCTCCCTGGAAGGCTCTCTCCCAGAGGTGCTGTCTTGCACCGGTTTAGGCTCTTCACCAAGAACCTTTGAGTCATCTTTGCCAATATGTGCCATAGCGTCCCGCTCAGGTTTAATCTCCACAGAAGATTCAGGGTTTGGCTGTATGATCTGGGCTTGCTTGTTTGAGGCCTGGTCCTTAAGTTCCTTCAGAGTGGATTCATGCAAGTGCACCGCTAAAGCCAAGAACAGGGAAGACAGTTAATCAACACTTCTTGTCTATCATGTGGCCCAGTCAAGAACTTCATTGTAGTCTTCGGGCACACCATGTTTTACACACCAGGACAGCCGATCCACCCAGTTCCCACCCTCATTTCCTCCTCAGCTCTGCAGTGGCATCCTCTGAAACCACATAATTGCTCCCACATACACGAAGACCCCAAGTGAAATCTCAAGTTTACACAACATCTTTCCTCTACAAATCAGAGAACCTACAGATCTTCCCTTTCATTCCCCTTACTGACTGGTGAAGAAAGTGAGATTCAGAGAGGTGGCTATATCCACTTACTTAGATTCAATATCTTGGGTGTTAACCATCCTCTGCTATGGCCCATGCTTTTTTGGGAGTCGCTGGGTGGCACAAATGGTTTGGCGCTTGACTACTGAACGGGAAACAGGCTTTGTGAGGCCAAACATGAGTGCCCTCATGCATTCTGCCAGTTTACTACAGTCTGCATTCTTATGTCACTCCCTGGCATGTAGCCATCATTGTCCACCACCACTGTAAAACCTCTGTCCTCCCAACATGGGGTGCAGACATCTGCTGTGGTCCTGCAGCCACTCAGGATTTGCCTTGGTGCGTAAGTCTCCCTAATGAACTCCTTCACCACCACAATCAAGTTCCCCACCTCTTTCCTTGGTCTCTCGGCACCCTCCATTTTTGGAGGCAAGTTTCACGTTACTGGTCCATGCTGGGACAACTGGTGAGCCAGCCAAGAGACCAAGGAAATGGCAAGTGGGAATGGAAATCCCGGGCTGGCCAGTGACCTCCATGTGGGGAAGTCTGGCCCGTATGCTTTTCTGCGGAGGAAATCCTGGGTTAGCCAGTGACTTCCATGTGGGGATGGAGCCCTGGTGGCACCAGTGGTTAAGCATTCGGCTGCTAACCAAAAGGTTGGCAGTTCACAGCCACTCCCTGGAAACTCTATGGGGCAGCTCTACTCTGTCCTATAGGGTCACTATGAGTCAGAACTGACTCGACGGCAATGGCTTTAGTTTTGAGTTTTTTCCACATGAGGAGGTCTTGCCTGTATGCTTTTCTGCAGGGTAAATCCCAGGCTGGCCAGCGACCTCCACGTGGGGAGGTCTGGCCCGTACGCTTGATGCGTGTGGACTGCCGCATGAGTACAGGGACGAACCAAAAACGCCAAGCGGCCTAGCCCAGTTCTGAGTAGACGTGTTCCTTCATAAGAGTGGAAAAGAAGCTAGGAGAGCAATAGCAGCCATGGGATGGCCGCTGCTTTGGGCTGCTCGGCTGGCCACTGAAGCCCAGCAAGCAGCTGAAGTGCACGTAAGAGCTCTGCAGGAAGAGTTATAGCTGGAAAGGGATGTGCGACTGTTGCGTGTGGCCACAACTAACGTATTGACTGGCCGCGTCCACCAACAGGATGAGCAACTAGGAACGTTTACCTGCAGGTTTGCAAAGATGAGGGATTCAAGGGCTAAGGGAACAAACAACCTCCTAGCCATTGCTCAAAGCCCTCCAACAATGGGACCGGAGATAGCTGGAGGGGCTAAGCAGGTCCCTGGCACTAAGAACACCCTGTAACACCCAGAGCAAACCAATAGCTAAAACAGCAGAACAAAAAAGGAGTAAAAAGCCCTTCAAGACAGCTTGTGTTGGGGTCCTCTCTGGAATTCTCTGATAACTACCCCCGCCAAAATAATCAAGCAGCAACATAGTCACAGCTGCAACAGTAAGGGGAAAACTAAAATAGGAGGGCCCTCCGCCAGGTGACCAGGCAACTGGGCTGAACCCTTGCTTGCACTTGGTGTGGTGGAGGCACGGCTCCACAAATGACTGAGGGCTCTGCCAACTCTGTGCAGATCTTCTGACTTTCAGAAATAATTAAGACTGAGTATTGATCCTAGGTCCCTCTGTCACCAGGGAGGACCAAAGGGCTTATGTTACAATTAAAAGTTCAATGAGGAAATGAATTGTATGTCTTGGGTTTTTAGATACCTTTGTACAGGGTACTGTAATCTTTATAACAGCTGGCATCAAAATGAGGAAAACTTTTGGGTCTGAGGTCACCATCATTGAGACCTTTGCCTAAGCCTGACTATGGATAAGTCCCTTCGGGGCCCCTAAAAGCCCCTATTGTATGTACTGATGTTGATGTATTAATGTACACCTTTGTACTTTTTCCTTCAAGCCCTGACAGGAATTGCTGCCATTAGGGCCATTTTTAGTGGGGCATGCAGAAACTGTGATGTGTGATATAGCTAACGGCCTGGTCATTCAATCTGGCCACTGACAACCTTCAGACTGACATATAAAGCAAGCCCCTATGGGGATGAGACCTCCAGACTGGAAAAAAAAAAAAAAAAAAACATTTCTGCTCCTGATAAGCTTTTGTTAGTTGTGTGGATGGTCACCAGAAAGCCCCTATGCGGAGAGGGAAAAACAACCAATGAGCAGACCACTCTTGCCAACTAACTGCAGAGGAGGAAGCATCCTCTGCTCCAGAGCAAAGAGATG